GATGGGCGGGTCTGTGAGGATGGGCGGGTCTGTGAGGAGGATGGGCGGGTCTGTGAGGATGGGCGGGTCTGTGAGGATGATAGGCGGGTGTGGCGAGTAGGAAGCACCACACTCCAGCCGCAGCCACAGCGCCCAGCAGCACTTACTTGATCTTGCTGAAGACGATGTCCACGTCAGTGACCGTCACGTTCTTCCCGTCGATCACGTGGCAGTCCTTGCACAGTTTGGACCAGTTCTTGCCGTGCATCTCCCTGCCGCTGGCCCGCGTGTCCCCGTGCACCGCGAACCGCCGGAAGGCCTCCTCCAGGGCGCTGAGCTCGGAGGGGGCCGCGGCCCCGCCCTCACCGCCTCCCTCGGACTCCAGCGACAGCCGCTTTGCCGTCTTCTCTCTGGCCGGGTCCCCGGGGGACTTGGGGGGTGTCCTGTTGGCAGCTTTGGCAGGCTTGCCCTTGCTCTCCGCCATGGTGCTAGGAGGGAGAGGGAGGACAGAAGTCACTCTGTGTCTGAACCCTGGCGGTCACAGAACCACGGCTCACGGCAGGGATGTGGCAAGCGCAGAGATGATCTAGGGGACAACTGTCCAGCAGGCGGCGTCAGTGGAGTGGGTGGACCTGCTCCCCTGCTCCCCGGGACCCACAATCTCCAGTTTAGGAAATTCAGTCTGCTCGCTCACAGCAGACTGCCCCCCCCCTGCCGCTCGTCACAGCCCCGTGGTCTGCTGCACAGCTCAGGACACAGCCAGAATCTGTGACCTGATGCCATCAGACAGGCACACAGTGACCAGGGAAGAGCCAGGCCCAGAGGTACATGGAGAAGCCCTGGAGACATCTGAGCAATTCCTGCTCTGAGCCCAAGGAATATAGTCAACACAGCTGGCCCAAGGGGAAACAGAGTCACCTCACCATAGCAATGGGCCAGTCTCCTCGAGCGTGAGTACCTAGAGGGTGCCAATTATCCAACGTGGGAACCATCCAAAGGCTGGGGCTTCCAGGCCAGGTCCCCCACAGGGCCTCATACGAAGCACAGTTCAGAAAGAAATGGCCGCTCAAATGCAGGGGTCAGGAGGACGGTGGTTCTGGGCCATCCTGGGAGTGGAGTTAGTGAGGCCTTATTTCAACCAATACATTACACATGGTGGTACAGCTATTCAGGCGTAGATATAAGAGGATCCTGGTTTGATACTGGGCAAAAACTTGAGACATTATCTAAAAAATAAACACCAAAAAAGTATAGCTCAAGAAGTAGACCATTCACCTAGCAAGCACAGGCCCTGGGTTCAAAACCCAACATGAACAAAAGGGAAGGCACAGCCACCTTGAGGGGAGACTTCAGCACCGAAGTTTGAACTCAGTGCATGGAAGGCAGTCCATGCAGGAAAGAGCACAGGCCGGAGAACACAGCGGGCTGCTGTGCGTGGAAAGGATCCCTCCGAATCCAACTCTGGCTGGATGAGCCAGCCAGTCTAGAACGTTCTCCACCCATGGCGAACTTCAGACCTTTCCTGGTGCAGCACTCAGGTGCTGTCCTGGGGGACCAGTGCCTAGGGTCGCAGGTCATCAGCCCAGCCTGGCTCAGAACACCGCGGCACCAGCGGCACGGGGAGACGGGCGGGGACAGGAGGGCAGACTTTTCCGGCCTGCCTGCTAGCCTGCCATGTATTACCTTAGCAACGTATCTTTACAGGTCTGTTAGTGAGCGGGAAGGAGTGACACTGAAGAAATGCACTTACTACCTGACGGATGTCATTGTACCTGCTCTGTGCATCCCCTTAAAGTAGCATGCACACGGTGACAGCAAACTGTAGCTAAAAAGTGTCCAAATGAGTTAGGCCCTAAGGGGGCGGGCGGGAAGACCCCGAGGCCAGCCCTGGGGAAGGCCAGGCTGGGTTGCGGCTGTCGGAGGGAGAAGGGTGGGGTCCTCAGAGCCAGCTCAAGAGGGACACAAGAGGGCTCTGTCCCCGGTCACCCGGTTCTGTTCCTCCTCGGGGGCAGGCTGACAACTTCAACCTGGAAAGTGGAGGCTGCCGCAGAGGCTCCCGGGAGCGTGGGGTGCCCCGAGCGTCCCCCCTGTCCCCCCGTGTGGGGTGCCCCGACCGTCCCCAGCGGCTCTCCTGGCCCCGCCCTTCTCTCCCAGGGCTCCTGGTGTCAGCGGCATCTCCTGTCTTACACTCCCTGCCACACAATCTCAGGCTGCTCTGACCTTCCTGTGCCTCCACGGGAAAGCAGGGTCATTCAGGGGGTTTTGGAGAGACAGGTCTAAGCCCCCAGCGTGGAGATGCACAGCCTTCCAGGTGCGTCCGCCCCCCACGTGTACGCCCTCCACCCTTCCCCCGTGGGCAGTGGGCAGGAGGCCTCCGCCTCCTCTTGGCTTAAGTTTTCTGCTCTGCTCTGAGACAGCCGGCTGAGCATCAGAAGGGCCGGCAGCATCCTCCCCCCCCCCCCCCCGGGGACAGGAGGAGGGGGTGGGAGGAGGGGACAGTGCCAGCCCTGGTCCAGCCAGGGCTGCCGGGAGGCTGAGTGCTGTGCTCATCACCCGCACGGGGCTTGGGGACAGACTGTGTTACCAGATTTGCATCTCCAGACAGGGCCGGGGCGGGGGGGGGGGCAGGGAGGACGTCTGGGGTGGAATTACAGACCTCACCCAGGCCCACCACCAGCATTCCTGGTGAAGTAAAGTCGCCGGGCTCCGGAAGGCCCAGGCCTGGCTGCTCAGCTACAGGACGGTGGTGATGGAGTCTGGGAGGCTCCCCTGACCTCTGACCTCTGGAGGTCCTGCTGTGGCCAGCTGTGCTGTGGCCAGCTGCTCTGTGCCGATTGTGCTGTGGCGTGGCTTGCCTGTGCCTCTTCCTCCTAGGAGTGAAGGGCCCGGGAGCCGGCGCGCGCTGAGAGAGGCTGCCCTCAGCTATGACAGGCGATTCCACAGGTGCCGGGGGAAAGGGCTGGGAGGGGGTGGGCACAGAAAGCTTCTGGGACACACAGCGGGCTGGGCCATGCTCCTCTCCCCAGCTCCCAGGCCACTGGCAGGCTCTTGTCTGGGATAGTGCTGTCCGCCCTGAGGGCCAAGGGGAGATGCCACCACAGACAGAAACACCATGGCCACCTCTGGGCAGAGAACATGCCAGGCCCACGCCTGACAAGACACACAGAAGGCCCGGCCAGAGGCCTCACCGGGCACTGCAGGCCGACAGGTAGCAGAAGAAAGGGGAGGAGTCCCAGCTCTTCAAGTGTGTTCCAAAAGAAGCACCTGCTGGCCATGGATGGCTCTTTCCAGAATGTTCCATGGGCTCTATTTCAGCCTGGTCCCTGGAGGCTGATGAGGACAGAGAGAAGACTTGGGCAGAATGGAAATAATGCCCTCCAACTCTGATTAAACAAAACAACGCCACGGCCCCTGTGGGAGGCCGGAACACAGCTTAGCCGGTGCCAGTTGCAGCTCCAGAGGTGGCTCTGGGTGAGGCCATCAGAGCACAGACAACACAGACCCCAGCCCTAAGCCCCGGAGGGTCTACAGAGTGGAGCTAAAACGGACTCAGAGCTCATCTGCTCGTGTCCTTTCTATCCCCGCCACGGCTTGGAGGCCCCGGGAGCTGTGGTGTGGACAGGTCTGTGTGGTGCGGCCGGCAGGCAGCTCCCAGGACAGCCGCAGGGGGCTCCGCCCCGCTCCGCTCTGCCCCGGCCCACCCCACCCCTACCCCATGCCACGGGCACACAGCGTGCCCTTTGGCAGTTGTTTGTTCTCATCCTAGCCCGCCCGCCCTCCCCACATCTCCTTAGGACACTCATGTGAATGGCCACTGTCCCAGGCAGAGAGCGCTCCCTGGGCCCACACAGAGCAGGCATTTTCTGAGTGTGTGTCCGGGACACACAGAGCCCGGCACCGGAAGGCCAGACACACTGCAGGCCCCACACAGGGCCTCAGCACCTGTGCACGCACATGACCAGGGCACCCCAGGCCACTCTCCAGACAGGCTGAGGTCAGGCTGTTGCCCCTGAGAATGGCCCAAGAGTCCCACACGCCACACTGTGGCCGTTAGTCCCCAGGGGGCAGCGGGTGGAGGGTGAACCATCAACCTACAGCCACGTCCGTCCAAAGCCCTGGGCCTAAGCTGGACCTCACTGTCCAAAAGACCCTCCTGGGACAGGGACAGAGTCTCGGGCACCTAGCCTTCCTGTCAGGAAAACCAGGGAAGGCAGAAGGTCAGCGGGCACGGGCACCTCCACCTGCGGGGCTCCACAGGAAGCCCAGGGCTCAGGCCGCAGCCCAGGAGCCGCAAAGCTCTGCAAAGCAGGAGTGCAGCAGCTCAGGTGACCACTGGAGCGACTTGCTCTTAGTCCTAAGAATAAGACAGGGGACAGCTGCTGGGCCAGCTGGAGGGCCAGAGAGGGGCCTTGGCAGAAGCAGTGCAGCACCCCCTCCCCAAGCGGCAGCGATGAGTTATTCCAGAACTCTCTGTGTCTGCCTACCCTAACACCCGGACTCCCCAGAAGTCTGACGGATACACAGCCGAGAATGCAGAGGCCGGGGACTGTGGTGCATGTCCCCGTGGCTTCCAGACAAGTGTCCCAGGCCACAGGGAGAGACAAAATCAAATGCTGCCACCCACTGTACAGGCACACATCATTTCTCTGCACAGTCTGCTGGGGACGGCCTCTGTGCACCTCAGTCTAAGTGTGGTGGGGCTGTTCAACCCAGGCCTCCCTCGGGGCACGCTCCCTGGGGGACGGGCTGGGTCCGGGCCACGCTCCCTGGGGGACGGGCTGGGTCTGGGGCCACGCTCCCTGGGGGCCAGGCTGGGTCTGGGGCCAGGCTCCCTCTGGAAGCTTCATGTGGCAGCGCCCCAGAGGAGAAAAACATCCTACTGGCTGATTCCCCTCAGCACAGCTGCAAATGCACCGCGCCCAGCCCTCTGCATGCAGCCCACGGGCACCCCCTGGCCAGCACCGTCTGCCAGGTGGCCGCCAGCGGGGGCATGGTGGTAGGTGAGTGATAGTTCTGGAAAAGAATTCCATTCTAATCCTGGAGGCTGTGAATGGGGCCTTGTTTGGAAGAACTGTCTACAGTTGGGTGCTGAATCCTAGAGTAGTGGTTTTGAGAGACAGAGGAGAGAGAGACATCCCTCCGTGTGGCCGTCCCATCTGGGCCACAAGGAGGCTCTGGAAGGGACCCTAGTGAATGGAGCAGTGCCTCCTTCAGGCCGGGGAAGCCAGCGGAGGCCTGGGACCCCTACCTCTGCCATCCCAGGGCAAGGACCCATGGTGTCCCCTGAGAGAAGGCAGGACTGGGCAGGAGGCAGCCACCCTCACAATGGACCTTGGGCACCTTGATCCTGGATGTCTGTCCCCAGAACTGTGAGGAGTGTATTTCTGTTCTTCATAAATCTCCCTGCTGTATTTTACTACAGCAGCACAAGAGATGGAGCGAGAGCTGGGCATGAAGAGGGGAGAGGCTTGGCTGAGGCTGGAGAGGCCGGAGCCCCTCCCTGGAGCCTCGGCCTTGTCCAGCTGCAGGGCTGGTGGCCGAGGACTTCAGGAGAGTGGAGTCCTGTGGTGAAGCTGCCCACGTGTGCCAATCGGCACACAGTCTCCAGGCTCTACTGTGGCACATGTAACAGACGAGGGACACCCCACGTGGCAGCACAGCCAAGGCCTGAAGAAGCAAAGCCATGGGTGTGGGGCACAGACAGCCCAGAGGACACACAAGGTGGACAGTCCGGAGCTGGACTGGGAGGCCTGCAGGTCAGCCCAAGCAGACAGGGTTTCTGATAAGGGACCGGTAGGTGACCCTGCCTCCCTGACTCTCCCTTCCCGCTGGAGTATACCGGGGCAGAGAAAAAGGCACCAGCCGGAGGAACAAAGTGGGCCGGAAGCCTGAGGAAGAAATCCTTCACAGGAAGTTTAATTTAGGGAAGAGTTAAGTTGCATTCGTGTGCCAAGTGGTCATCTTCCAGATGGGAGGCCCTGGGGAGAACCGTCTGCAGACTGTGGGAGGGAAGGTGTGCAGAAGGGTGCATGGATTCTCTTAGTCATTTTTAATGGCACTGGGGTTTGAACTCAAAGGCTCTGGCTTGCACACAGCTACTTGGGCCGGGTCCCTCATCCTTTCCTCTCTGGCTATCTTCAGATTGGGGTCTCCTACCGAACCTCCTCTTATCTGTGCCTCCTCTGTAGCTGCCATTAGGCACATACACTACACGCAGCCTGTTTGCTAAGATAGAGTCTTGGTAACTAATTTTTTGTCCAGGCTAGCTTAGACCCCAACCATACTACCCAAAGCCTCCTAGTACCTGGAAAAATAGGTGTGTGTCACCACTTCCTGGCTTTTGGTTGTGGGGGGGCTCAGTAACTTTTGCCTGGGATTGGGCTCAATCTGTGATCTTCTACATCTTCGCACCCTGAATTAATTATTAAGATCACAGGGGTTTGCCACCTCACAGAAAGAATCTTAAATGAGATCATAGTGCATTAATCACTTCTGATCATCAAATATCAGCAGTAACCAGTGTGGCAGCTACGCTTGTCCGGAGGGGTTGACCAGTGGGCAGGCGCACAGGGAGCAGCCACGGCTGTGGTGGCTGACAGTGCCGGCCTCCCCTCACCACGCCACCCCTGCCCGCTGGGCAGCCTTGCGGGGCGAAGATGCCTGGCCGGACTGAACCCTGTCCTAGAAAACTGAGTCCGACAAGGCAAGCCCCGAGACAGAAGATATTTAGTACACGGAGCAAATGCCAGCTTGGACCAAGCCTCTGCTGTCAGCGAGAAAAGAGAGAGCTCAACAGGAAAAAAAATGCCTGTCAAGGAGGCCAGAGAGGGCCAGCACACACATGTGCCCAGTTTACTGGTCAGTCGGGAGCACACAGACAAAGGCCCCAATCAGACAGGACCACAGCCCCAGCAGCATGGAGGGATTCGCCGCAAGTGCTGGTGAGCTGTGGAGTGCTGAGCTCCTTCCATGGACGTCACCGACAACCCCGCACATCAGTCCTGACCACACTAGTCCTGAGACACACAGAACCTGCCACTGCTGGCCCTGAGACCCGAGAGCACGCAGGAAGGCCCAGGGCAGAAACAGCCAGAGACGACCGCAAAGTGGATACTACAGCGCTGGGCTGAGTGGCTCAGAGAAGGACGGTGCGAACCAAGTTAACACACTGGTGATCAGAGGTGACACACAACAAAGCAGCTCCCCCTCCAGAACACAACCAAGGGAGCAAGCCTGAGTCCTGGCAGCAGGCAGAGAGAGACGGCAGAGCCCCGGCCCCTGCCTATGTCCACACCACCCGGCCCATCAGGTGATGAGGCTGAGGGGCTCAGACAAGACTGAGGGCTTTCTATATTTCTTCCCCAAAGGAAGTTTCCTGTTGGGCTATTCTGACCTCATACTCTGTAACTGCATTTCCTATGCTGGGTGCAGTTAAGGAAACTGAGGCCACCCAGGGCTACCTGTCCCACAGGAGCTGACAGCTGGAAGACAGCTGCTGCCTCCTTCCTCCTGGGACCCCAGCAAAGTCCAAAAAACCCACTCCAAGACTGACAAGGGAGCGAGGCAGCAGGGGAGGGGGGGAAAGCTAGTCCTTAGGAGAGAGACCGTCACCATGGGAGACCCTGTCAGAGACAGGTCCCTGAGCTGGTGGTGCCAGGGCAAATGGCCTTAGGCCAGAGAGGCCCTGGGGGATGGATCTTTTGGGTAGAGATGTCCTGGGTGAGGAAGATCTGGGTGGAGATTATCTGGGTGGGGATGATCAGGGTAGGGATGATCTGGGTGAGGATGATCTGGGTGGGGATGTCCTGGGTGAGGATGATCTGGGTAAGGATGATATGGGTGGGGATGATCAGGGTGGGGCTGATCTGGGTGAGGATGATCTGGGTGGGGATGATCTAGGTGGGGATGATCTGGGTGAGGATG